GAACAGTACTGATATTATAACTCTGCACTTTTTATTTTTCCTTTATTATTATTCTTTCACGCTTATTTTGGCCAAAGGCACTATTACACCTCTACTGAAAGTTACAGTAGGTTTCCTATAATTCTCTAACTTGCTCTTTCTGCTACACTCTACATTTAATACCCTCTAGAAAGGCTAGACTTTATGTTCTGTGATTATATAACAGATCTTTTCATTACATAGCCAGAAAAGTATTACATCCTGTTATAATACAATGCAATATAGTATTTTTAAAACTTAGAATGATTATACAGTTTCTTTTGTGTGCGTTATTTTCTAGGTCTTTGTTTTTTTCTTATTGTAATCTTTAAAATAGATTTTTAGTTATTTAATAACAGTTCAGAGATTCCATACATGTAAAGATAGATCTGGATATGCAATACGACTTTAATATTGCAATATTAATTCTAAAATGAGGACCAAATCCTCCCTCTCTCATGGGCACACAGAAACATACTGACAGCACCACACATTCATCTTGCAGTTATTAATGGTATAAAATTGTATTTGATTAAAAAAGCAAAAAACAAAGTCAGAGGTATCTAAAAGTCTTTTTGTCTGCCTTTTAATTTTCTAATATGTACAATTCTTCTTTCTCACTCTGTTTTATCCTGTCTCCCACTCAGAACAAATGCCAAAAGTGTACCAAATTTCCATGGAAATTACATTGCAAAGCCGCAGAGGGAGAGGCGAGTGAAGCAGAGCAACTTAAAATGGCTTTATATAAAGGACTCCGAGGCCCTTTAATTACACTGCTATTGATTGCTATGTGCAGGTTTCCCACATTCATTTGCTGCTTTTTCCTCTCAACTATGCATTTAATACCCAGCAGAGAATTGCACTTAGTTGCTTCTGAATGTAGACAATTTTATAAGATTATACATAATATCTTTTTTTAATTATCTAGTTTATATATTTAAAGTAGTAGAATGTATGGATGTATTTTGTTATTGCATATATGGTTTCTTTCTTATTTCTTGCCTTAAAAATTTATTACATATTTTAATTCTATGTAATGCTAAGTATAAGTTTGTCTAATAAATCTATCCAGTAGTCAGAGTAACACAATGTTACAATGCTACTAAAAGACCATTACCATTACTAGGAGTTTATGTCTTTACCAATACACCATGGCGCTGTAACCAGGGTACATATCTGCCACCTATTCTTACTATGTCTCATTCTGCCATTTAATCAAAGAGGCTGAGATGCAGTAGATGTCCTAGAGTTACGGAAATCAGCATTAGTAAGCCGAAGTGGTGTAAATTATGAGATTGTTAAGCGGGAGACCAAGGATCTTGTCACAGGAGCTTTGGTTGTGTATTTAGTTACATTTCATTTCACTTCCCATTAGGTTTGGTTTAGGGTTAGGGTTTAGATGGCAAAAGCACTTAACAAGGTTTAGGAAAGGATTGCAGTACGTTATCCCCGTCGGCAACTCAGCCATGAGTGATACCAGAGGAGACCCAGAGTGTTCAAATGCAGTTCCAAGGATCCTGAACAAGTGTGGAATTAGTTGGTGTAAAACAATTTCACAAGCACAAACAATCTGATTACAGTTTAGTTTTGAGCAGTATCGGTGGCACTGGTAATCTTTCCCAACTACAGACAGAGCCAGACTAGCCTTGCTGCTAAGGTAATTTAGATTTTGTATTTCGAGTATAGACATGGCAGTGCTACTAACTGTCTCGACCAACTTGAAATGGAATAAAGTCGTATATGCTGTTTTAAAAGGTAATGTTCTACATGTGTTTGAAGTCTTCATGAACCTTTGATCATACAGAAGCTACATTTTGTGGGGAAAGTAAAAGTATGCACAGGTTGAGCACATTGGTTCCTTTAACCTCCTAGGACCTGGCGTCCACATATGTGGACATCACATTTTGGGTTATTTAGACCAAAATACTCAATTTTGATCTACAAGGGCCTGAGATCCACTTACAAGGGCATTATACTGCTACTGTTCTATCAAATTTTTAAAGAATATCCTCATGTGGCTCTCATTTTTCTTAAAAACAAAAATAACGTAAAAATATATATATATATATCTGGTAATTCTTTGTATTTACATTCATCGAGCCCCAATATGCCCAAATATCAAAGAGAAATTAAAAATGCATGTCGTGAAGGAGTTTGGGTCTTAGGAGGTTAATTTCATTTACAAAGGTAAACCTCTGGGAGAAAGCTCTGCCTTGGTTTGAACCCAGGACTCTTTTCCTCTGAGGAAACAGCTCTTACCACTAAAACAACATGCTGCTTTTTATTCTGCCATACTGCTTGTGATAGGGAATTCATACAATCCTCCAGGATAAAATGGTGCTAAATAGCTTAGCTCTGTTGGTGACATCACAGTGTATTTGAGTTTTATATTTGCTGAAATCAGGACACATTCTGTGGGGAAAAGGGCATTTCCATTTCATTTAGCCCTTGGAAGTCAAACATGTACTATTGTCCCTTTAAATATTTTCATCAACTCTCAAAACTTAACTTAGAGTCACCTCTTACCTGTAGAAGCAGCCGTATCTGTAAACCCATTCATCATGAGGGGAATTACTCTATGACAAATCTCTCTCCCTACTCTCTGTGCGTTTGCAGATTGAATACACAAACGGTCCACATGTTCCATCCCTCCTCTTTAGCCATAGTCATTTGTGCCAATGTCAAAAGTGATAAATGGGTTATGTGGCGCCTATGAGAGAAAGCAGTGAATTTTTATAATGTATTAAACAGGAGCGAGAGGGCAAGCAGACAGGCAGGGAGGGAGGGATGGAGGACAGGAGTGAAACTGGAAAAGTGGGCTGTCATGCTGTAGTGCTGTAGGCAGGGGACCTCTGTCACACACAGTTTGAGCCCCAGCTCGCATCTTTGCTGGCACTTCTTCTGTATTTCCCTCAGATATCCAGCCATCAGCCCCCCAAGAGCTCACAGCCATCCAGCAAGGCAGCTGAGCTGGCAGACACAATATCTAGTGACTGCTCTGTCAAATGCATCATATGGCCATCTGTGTGTGCTTTTAAGTGTGGTCTTTTTGCCTTTCTTACAAGAGCCAGTTGCACTTTAAGACTATCACATGAAAGTCTTCGAAGGTCATGTTATGTTTCACATTTTTATGTATTGTTGCTGTTTGTTGATAGAGCTGTAAATACAAAAACATCATAATCATAAAAATAATAATCTCCAATCTAGCATAAACTGAAATTGGAACTTTGAGCTGACAATTTATTATTATTAAATTTTTAGTCTGTGCAAAATCCCATTTAGTTTTCTATTATTACTTTAATATGTGACTTTCCTTACATACTCCCCTATTAACACTCTCTCACTGTCCCATATATGATGAAAATGCCTAAAAGGAAGTCACAAGACCCCAGTAAGGTACTTTTTTAAGCGGCTCTATGCAATATTGTTTATATCTGCCTTTCATTACCTTTACTTTCCAACTGGTTGAGATTGATGCAAGTGCATGCACACACATTCCCTAGTCATCTACCCTCACATCATGATTTCGTGTAAAACCGCTACCCTGCCTTAACATGAAGTCTTAACCCTCAAACAGCCCTGCAAGACGTGTTAGCAACTAGAGACAAGCAAATGTTCTCACTTTCCACACATCGTGTCTCTCTCTCAAAGAATCCAACACCAATGTGTCCTTGTAAAGATACACATAGAAGTAAACACAAATGAACCCAGACACACCAGAGTGCACAAAAACACAAATGGACTCTATTGTAATTACTTTAATGCCACTCTAACCAACCGCTCTATGAGAGGGTTTGACAGAGCAGTCTAACAGATGAACAGTAGTAGTTTAATGCATTCTGATCTCCAGTTTCCTGAAGATTGTGTGTTTCCTTCCCTTCTGACAACCATCAAGAGTTTAACCCTTGGAAAACAACTTAACAATTTTAGGACACCTGTAAAGTGGAGTGATGAAGTACTTAAAGGTTCAAGTGATATTTCACTTTGACCGCACTCTGAGAGTGCAGTTTGTCCAATCAGATGAATTATTTGGAACTGCCAATGCACAAAAGGATAATTTCAACAATTGTGACTAAAGTCTAAAAACTATTGGTGGGACACTGGTGAAGAACGAGGATGACTATCTGAATGTATACGATGTGGAGCAAAAACAAAAAAAATCTAGGAGAGGAGAAGAAAAAAGAGAAAACATTGTCAAGGAATGTAATTAATACATCAGTTCCTCCACAAGGTGTTAGATGTGTAATTGCTAAAAAGAAATATGAACCTAAAGGTAGATAAAATGTCATAAAATCTAACTGCTGATTGGTAGGTGGTTTGTTTCATTGTGTTCACTCTGAATTTGAAGGCTGTTTTTAACCTAAGCAATAGCTATAGGATATACTAACCACAACGTTCATTTGATTTAATTTATTTTACGTCAGTCTACTTTGTTTTTGGTTTTTAGCTTGAAAATGTAATTAAAGTCAATTCAGTTTAGTTCAAATCAGTTCGGTCCAAGGAGCTTTCTTTCCAAGCCTTTTAGACTACCACGGCCTGAATGACTGAGAACCTGCACAGTCAATTCTATTCTATTTAATTTATATAGTTCCAAATCACAAATCAGTCACCTCAATATGACTGCAAGGTTACTGTTTATATTCCAAGTTTTAAAAAAAAACAAAAAACACAATAATACAGAGAAACCCCAACAATCATGCAACCTCTTATGAGCACTTGGCGACAGTGGGCAGGAAAACTTACCATTTAACAGGAAGAAACCTACAGAGATTAATAATAACGAACTCCAGAGTGGTAATATCCCCCATGGCACATTTGATTTAGAACAGAGCATTCAAACCAGGTTCTGTCTATGTAAATATATTTTCTTTTTGCTGAGTGAAAACTTATGAATGAAAATCTCCCAGTATCGTCACACTATGAATCAATAATAATTCAGAATTACTCATCTTACAATTTGTCTTTTTCTTTCTTTTTCCTAGAGCGCAAGAAGATAACCCTGACAATTGGAAACCAGTTTTCGTACAAGAAAATTTACAACGTTGTGGGATATCTGAAGGGAAAGAGGAACCCAGGTTTGTACAAAGCCACTGCAGATTTGCCTTAAAGTTAAAACACAATCTCAGCATTTTTCTGTCTCTATCTTTGCTTTTAGCTACATTTGTATTCTTTCCTGTTTCGTTAACAGAAAAGGTAATGATTTCTTGATGATGCTTGTATTACTTAGCTCTGCTGCAACATAATGCACTTAGTCCCCAAATATGGCTTTCATTCCTCAACTCAATCTGTCTGTGCTTGGCTTTAAACAAGCAGTAAAAATCATAAAAAAAAGATTAAAGGAGAAATTTGGAAACATCTGTATTCTCTTACTGGCAGAAAATTCCATGATAATATCAACACCACTTTCATAGCCATCATAAATGAGGCTACAAACAGTGCATGTTAGTTCAGTTTGCCACTAATCCTGTAAATGGGGAAGCAGTTTCTGCTTCCCACCATCAATGCTATCCACATCTGTGTCTCAGCAGAAGAGCAAATTATAGAAACTAAGCACATTCTGTGCTACAGAAATATTCTCACTGGTGGTTAAATGAGACAACCACAATGACTTCTCTTAAAGTGCTCTTGAGCAACTGAACCACTGGGTATTTAGACAAGACTAGCACTTTGTAGCAGTGACATAACATGAACCACTGGCTTCTGATACATAAGATAATAATAATCATTTATATTACCTTTCCATGTGAAATTAACCGTTTTGATGACTAAAATAACCAGATGACATCACCTTTAATGCAAACACAATTAAACTCAAATTGAATTATATGGCTGCCATAACAAATATTTTATATTAGTGAGGAAAATATTCTTTTTTTAAATTCTTTAATAAACTGTGGCATTGCCTATTATTTTCCTTGCATACAGCACTTCTATCCACATGTAGTGAGCACAGGGATCACAATAATGCATGACTTTCTCACTTAGAAGTGTTGTTTTAGAACTATTAGAATCTATTAGATTCTAATAGTTCTAGGTATTTACATTACTTTTAATTAGTTTTGATTATAACATTATTTCAGATCCATCTAAATTTAGGTTACATTTCACCTGAAAAGTGATTCTTATAAACACATATTAAGGTTCAGAAGATGCAGGTGCACGTTTTTTATGGATACATTAGATCAAAACACAATAATAGAAGCTTTAACTTGATTTGATCACACTTTCATTTTCATCCCATGAATCCAAAGGTGGTTAAGCTCTGATAAGTAGACATTAACCACCTTAATGTTGACTAAAGTAGACATTAACTGCCTTTTGCTCTCTTAATGTCAACCATCGTGTTTCTTAAATGTCTGCCATTTGCATCTATTTATTTCAAAAAGTTGCCCATTGATGTTGGCAAAGACTTTTGAAAATGGACCATTGGAGACGTATCTTTTTTTTCTGTTTCCATTTACAAGGCTTTGTTAACTCTGCCCATTTCAAACATGCTGTATGCTGTGGTCTTTTAATATTTAAATGTCAACCCTGGCTCTTTCTTCTTAGCTAAAACTACCCCTATCCTTTTTTAAATTGTCTCTTTATCTTGCCCTTGCCTCATCCACACAGCCTTCCTCCAATGTCACGCTACTGTACCTGTCCTGCCCACTCAGTAGTGGAAAATTATCTTGCTGATTTACAGTGTAATATTAAGCAGGCATAATGGCCCACTAAAGCAGATAATATGGGTCACAAATCTCTGGAAGGAGTGATGCTTTAACTGGTTGTGGGGGTTTCATCATATGTCTGTTCCACACTTAACTCTAAACAGACTGAATATTCATGCATGATGGCAATGGGTAATTCTGAATGACTCTTTGCTGTTTTTCTTAAATAATGCTGTACGCAGCTACAGCTAGCAGCATAACAAATCTGCCAAACAGGCACACTGTAACATCAAAGCAGCCCTGTAGTTTGAGCCAGTGTGGTTCAACACAAGTGTTACATGAATACTCCAGGGACATAACTGTTTATATTCTAATAATAGCTCAGTGAAATGAATTCATAGATTTAGATTTGTATATAATTATAGTATAAAGCTGGTTCAAACTGTTTCGAACGCAACAAAAATGTAGAAAGTCTATCAACTGCTCACTAATAGCACATTTTATGATTATTCTTCCATTATTTTATTTGGTTGCCTTCCTGGACAATGTTGGGAGAATCAGTTTCAGGCATTGTCCAAAGTTGCCCTTTCTTATATGCAGCCCCAAGCAAACATGTTGGAAATGGCGACTTCAAAATGTGCTGTGCTTCAAATATTCAGTTTGACACCTTTTTACATATAGGTGCAGACAACATGGATTTTGTACTAGGCACTTGAGTGGTTAAAGACTGCATCAGACATCTGCATTCACATGCATTCAACTAGCTAAGGCTGGGAAGCTTGGTTAAAAAGCTGCATCCATACACTATATGGCTACATCACAGAGTCCAGTGCCTTAGTGCCTACAGTGTGCTAAGTAACATAGCAAAAATAAGCATTTAAATAAAGCACTAGAACTGGAGCAGGGATTACCTGCATGGACTGTTACAACAGTACATATGTCTTTGCAGCAATCCATATTACTTGTCAGAAAATAACATTAAAACATTTTCCAAAAAGCACCAACATCAGACACATGGTTAAGAGGAGCCTTATCGGCATCACCTGCCACTTAAATCAGTCGTGTCTGTGATTTTTTTTTTTGTCCATCATGCACATAAAAAGGTTTATTTCTGCTGTAAAGTTTGGGTTTACGTAGGAGTCTTATAACATTGCACTCACTTTGTGAAGACGTTCTTATTCTAAAGAACTGCAGCTTTTTTGTTTGCTTATTTGTTTGTTGTGTGATAAAAGTGTCACACATTTGTACTAATTAGTGTCTCATCCAGTTACTATGAAGCCGGGCTTTGAACAGCTATCATGACTTTATACTTTTTCTGTTAATCTAAAGGCAAAATATGACCAAATAATCAGAATCAGAATACTTTATTGATCCCTGGGGGAAATTATTTTTTGTATAAATAAATATAATTTAATATAATTCTTTTTGTATAAATAAAACATAAAGTCCAAATTGCCATTGTGTGAATGGTGTGAATGTGCGAGTGAATGTGAGTGCGAATGGTTGTCTGTCCCTGTGTGTTGGCCCTGCGACAGACTGGCGACCTGTCCAGGGTGTACCCCGCCTCTCGCCCTATGACAGCTGGGATAGGCTCCAGCGCCCCCCGCGACCCTGAAAAGGATAAGCGAATGGATGGATGGATAAAACGTAAAGTATAGTCATAGAAATATTAGCTTATGCCCACGATCCTCAGTTAAAAGCCCGAAGCTATACAATTCCAACACAATCCTGAAATAAATAAATAAAACTCATGCATATGAAATATGAGATAAAGAACTTGAGTGGCCACCTAATCTCAAGATACCTACATTGCTAAATTGCTAATGTAGAAAACTCCATCCATCCATTCTCTTCCACTTATCGTTGTCAGGGTCGCGGGGGGCTGTAGCCTATCTCAGCTATCAAAGGGTGAGAGGTAGGGTACACCCTGGACAGGTCGAGAGTCTGTCACAGGTCTAATACATATAGACAAACAACCATTCTCGCTCACATTCACACCTAGGGGCAATTTGGAATTACCAAATGACCTAACCCCACTAACTGCATGTTTTTGGACTGTGGGTAGAAGCCAGAGTACCCAGAGAAAACCTACGCAAACACAGGGAGAACATGCAAAGGCCCACACAGAAAGGCCCTGGCCAGGTGATGGAATCAAACTCTGGACCTTCCTGCTGTGAGGCAACAGTCCTAATCACTCTGCCACCATGTCGCCAATGTAGAAAAATTCCTCGCAAATTTCAAAACTGTAGCAAATGTTAGAGGACTTCTACCAAGAATCAATTGCACCAAAAAACAAAATAAAACATGGTTGGTAGCTCATGTATTTATGCAAGTGAAAACATTCCTCCATTGACTTACTGCACTAAACTACAGTTAGTTTCAGCTGAACCAATAATAATTTGTCCTAGCCTAAGGGCATCACGTCTATGTTATTTTATGTTATTTTCAGTCTGTGTTTATTAATTAGGGTTTCTTATGAAAAATTAATTTAGCTTTTGATATATTAATCTCCTCCTCCCTCTATACATACCCATGAACAAAGTAAATTACACTTTCACGTATGAGTGATTTAAAGTACTTTACGCTAATCGCTGTTCATAAGATTCACCCAGGAAGCTCCACATAATGTAATAATATGTTGTCATGGGCTAAGCTAGCAGGCTTCTCTAAGCACCTCTTTTCTCAGACAGAGTCATCAGTGCTCTGTGTTGCAGTTGTGAGGTTTGCTCTGTTCTTCTTGTTGCCTGCAGGAGTTCTGCTTTGTGCATCCATACTCATCTCTCTGTCTTTGTAGAAAATGCAAAGCATACAAAGAAGCCTGAAGCATTCATGTGTGAATGCAAGTGACTTTCTTACCTCGGTAAACCACAGGAAGACACTGTGTGAATGCCTTTATGCTACTATTATTAAGTCACATCATTTGTACATATTCATTTTAAAACCCCTTTCTTGGTTTAGCTATATAATGTGCTGTGTATCTGATTTCTTGAAATAATCCCTGCTGTCTATAATTTAACACAAAAAGATGGAGAGACATATTTGGGCCTTTTACCAACAAGTATCTGCACATTAGCATAAGAAATGTCACCCTTCAGTCAAATTTCTTCCTATACAAAATCCTTAAAAGCCATGTTTCTCAGTTCAGCAGTTTAGTTCTTATAGTAATTAAGGACAGTTTGGTGATTTGAATTTGATGTGCCTGTTGTGGTTCCATGGGTCATGCAAACTTATGTAACTCTTCCCCTTTATTCTAGAGATTCTGAGTTCTGTTTCAACCTTCTGAGTCATCTTAAGGCTGGCAAAACAAAATTACCCCTATTAGGCACCAATACCCGAGTAGCTGCAGCTACCTGCATGAGCTTCAGCAATGGATGTGTGGAACATGGTCCACTGGGGACTCAGTGCAGGTAGTGTCCCCACTCTCCCTGAGTCTGGTGATGGGCAAGGGGCTGTATCTCCCTGGTTCACTGCCTATACATTGAGGTTTTTCCCAGTGGATGAGAGGCTTGGTAACCCTTGCCTTCGGATCAGGGGAACAGGTCCTGACCGTAATATGTGCCTATGTGACGAATGACAGCCATTTTGAGTCAATAGGTGAGGTGCCGGAGAGGGCTCCAATAGGCAGTCTATTTTAAATACAACCAACTCTAAATGGATAGCCACTGAAGGAAAAAAGGTCAAAAAGGATGATGGGATTTAAATATTACCCAGATGGAGACCTGTTTAAAGTACTGTGTGTGTGTGTGTGTGTGTGTGTGTGTGTGTGTGTGTGTGTGTGTGTGTGAGTGAGTGAGTGAGTGAGTGAGTGAGTGAGTGAGTGAGTGAGTGAGTGAGTGAGTGAGTGAGTGAGTGAGTGAGTGAGAGAGAGTTTGTTTATGAGCAGATGATCAGTGATACAACATGTGTTCAACATTAGGTCCATCAAACAGCGAGTGACCTTGTACTGTGAATTGTGGGAGGATAAATAAACCTGTTACAGTAGGTGCACTCATCTGTGTGCATTTGTGCACCTATGGACATATTCTTTTAGCATGATTGAAACATTGTCTCTAATAGTACAAAGCACAAAACACATAGAAGCCCCCCAGCTGGCCTGTGGCTCTGAACCCAGGACCTGTTTGCTGTAAGGCAAAAGAGCTAACCACCAGACCATTGTGCACCCCATCGTGCAAAGTGTGGTTGTCATATATTTGTATATCATCCTTTACCTTATTTATTTTGAGTTTGTGTAGCATCCCTCATTTTTCACCATAAATTTTTGAGTATCTACCTATACAGAGATGAAAAAAAATAAAGATTTCTCTGTTTTTAATTTACTTATTTGTTTGTTTGTTTTATTTATTTATTTATCTTCAGATCGCTATGTGCTGGTTGGTAGTCGTCATGACAGCGACCATGGAGGCGGGACTTCAGCTATTATGAATCAACTGATTGCAGCACTGACAGAGCAAACCAAACGCGGATGGGTACCAGACCGTACCACTGTGTTTTGCTCATGGGGAGGCTCAGCCCTGGGAAACATTGGATCTTATGAGTGGGGAAAGGTCAGCAAACACAAGAGCCTCTGCTTTATTAAATGTCAGAGGGTCAAGGGTAGAAATGTCTGAAAATAGAAGTACTGGCAACATATATGAACACCAATCACTAGAAATATGACGACACTTCTTGTCAAAGGAGTGTGAGGGGTTGGGTCTTAATTATGATGGTGTGATGAGTGTAATGACAACAATTATATGATTATTATAGTAGATTGAAATCATAATAGCTGGTGTGTGGTGTACATTTATGTGTTCCTTACAGGATAACAGTGTTGTTCTGCAGAGCAGTGCAGTGGCCTATGTCAGCCTGAACTCTCCAGTTAGAGGGACGGAAGCTCTCAGAGCTACAGCTTCACCAACTCTTCTGCAGCTCACCTCAGATATACAGAGGGTAACTATTACTATGATTCCATGTACTGCTACTGTCACTCCAACATGATGTCCTGCTATAGTGTCCAGTGTTCTCACAACATACACCATATAAATTATAAGGGATCCCTCAATATTAGTAGTAGCAGCACTGTGATTCACCTAAAATATGGCAATGAATAATCGCCTCATTTCAGTGAAAGGATATAAAGCACTGGCATTTTCTTTTCTTTTTTTTCAAAATTACAGCTGCTGCCACAGCTGCGATTTTGCCAGGTTAATGTTGAAATTTGTGTGAAAAGGTCTGCTAAAAACCACCAACTGCTAAGCACCATATTAGAGATTACCCTTGCGGTTTCAAGGGCGGTTCTGTTACTTTAAAACTATGTTGTTTTGCAAGCTCTAACCCTAAGAGGGTAAAGTATAGTAAATAAGACTTAATCTTGTTTTCTATTTGAGTTCCTAGAGGCACAGTTCCCACTAAGTTGTATGTTATCAGCTTAATACTTCATGACTTTTCCCTGTTTTATAAAGGAATGACTTAAAAAATATTTTAAGCTTCAGACATCCAGATTACCCACGATCAGTTCATCTTAAAGCTCCAATCATGCATGATTAAAAGCCGTTTTCATATTCTTTATTTTTGTAACTGTTGTTGAAAGAACTTTCTATCTATTTCAACCCTTAAAAAAGTGCTCATAGAAGGTCTTCTCTGGATAACACACTGCTTTCATCAATGCTTTTCTGCATCAGTATCAGTTTTAATACCCATATTAAATAGTCTGTCTGTATTTGTATAGCGCTTTACTAGTCCCTAAGGACCCCAAAGCGCTTTACACATCCAGTCATCCACCCATTCACTCACTGGTGATGGCAAGCTATATTGTAGCCACAGCCACCCTGGGGTGCACTGACAGAGTCAAGGCTGCCGGACACTAGCACCACCGGGCCCTCTGACCAACAGGCAACAGGTGATGTGTCTTGCCCAAGGACATAATGATCGAGACTGCCCAAGCTGGGGCTCGAACCGGCAACCTTCCGATTACAAGGCGAACTCCCAACTCTTGAGCCACGTTCGCCCCGTTATCCCCTCATCAAAGCATGTGCCAGATTTCGATGTCTCATTATGGAGAAATGAGCAGATGTAAATGCCTAAACTTTAACAAGGACCAAATATTCATGGCTGTGGAGTTGGAGCCTCTCCCAGATCGCAGAACTATCACTGATTTTCTAGTTTACAGACAAACCAAACCAGTGACAGGATGTTAGTGGTTGTGTTAGAGCTTTAAACTCACAACTTAAAGGACCTAAAGGATCCGTTGCATCTTAATGCTACTTTTGGAGATCTTTTGGTGCTTTTTTGAAACTATGTAAAGAAACAACAGCAGGCTTGTTGTAACTAATTAGAACATCTCACTATATGACCACATTTCAGTTTACTTTGCTTCTTCATTTCTATTATTTCTTTGTTTCTCTGTAATTACCCGTCACTAATCAGGATGTTAATATTTTCAATTCTGCTTTGATGTTTTTTGAGGTAAGTTTTCCTCAGAAAATTGGCTTCAGGAACAACTGCTAGCAGACTCTTAGGCAGACACACTGATTTCAGCAAGCTCGGTATTAAGAATAAAGATGGCCAGATGTTGACATGAAATACTGCCACCTTGTTTTGAAGGCCATTCTTAATGGAGTAATTTTATGCTCATTCTACACATCCATTATGATAATTCTCCCTTACGTTTAGTATAATAGAAGGATAAAAACGTTATGTGATCCTCCTCTGCCTTGCAGAAATTAGTTAAGGATATGCCTCACAAGTGTCCTCGGTTTCTTTGAAACAAGACGTCAGGGGTTTAAAGCCTGGTTGGAAAATGCTTCCGGCTAGACCCTAATGCCAAATCAGCTACATTGAACTATGAGTGAGAGACAGGTAACTGAAGCCATAACAGCTTTAGTAAAATAGATTGTGTAAAAATGTTACATAACCAAGGTCCCTCTCTTTCTTCCTGAAATTAGTTGGAAGAGATGCCTTGCAGGTGCAGATTAAGCGAGACATCTCTCAAAGGCTTTGGGCAACTGCTACAACTGCTTGTGTTACACCCCTGAAAACAGGGGGAAAAGAATCACGAGAGTGATTATGACTTGCGTCTCTCATGCAGTAGTTTATTGCAGTAAATGCAGTAAATGAACAGAAACGTTTCACATTCTGTACTGCTAAATGTCACATGGTGGAAGAAAAACACTAACTAATAAACCGAAATACTAAAGTGCTGACTATACATATACTTGAGCAGGTTTCCTGGAAAAATGGCTGACAATCGTTTTTAGCTCCTGCCGTTATCTTAATGGCCATTACACAGTACAAAACTGAGGCTCAAAACCGCCACGTATATGTGCACAAAACTGTAATATAATGCTTCTAAGGCTTACAAAACAATGAAGGATTACCTCTTAAATATCTTAACAGTGTACACATTGGAAATATATCAACTTTTAAACACTTTTACCTGAAAACGGGGAAAAGAATCACGAGAGTGATTATGATTTGCGTCTCTCTCATGCAGTAGTTTATTGCAGTGAGGAGAATGCGCAAAAGCCCCCTGGTGGAGAACAGAGACACTACTAATCGATCCCAGAAAAGGCTTACTAGCAGATCAGCGATGTATAGATTGTAGTTCCCTTAAGTAACATGAAAGCCATTAATATAACATGAAAAATAATAAACTCTTAGCAATTTTCTTACCATATTTACATTATTTTCATCCTTTTATCAACAGATATCAATTAATATTAACTGAACAGTTTTATATGCAGTAGTCCTTCAACCTGTCACACTTGTACAAGAATTCAGCTGATTATTAACCTGTTCATTTATTGGAGCTGATAATTCTTTAATTAATGATGTTTTTTTTAACAAGCAAACCACCACTACAAGGTCTTTATCAGTTTATTATAAATGGTAAACAACTGAATGCTTATATATCAAGAGTAATACAGTGGTGTAGTACACAACGCCCATCCCATTATAAAAACAAAACACATAATTTTATGACTTTGTGCTTCCTGTATTTATTGTTTCTATAAATGCTGCACTCTCCCTGGAACTTTTCACCTTTTCCTGTCTGAATTATAAAATGTATCCCTCCTACAGTGATTAAAATATTTGCCATTTCCTGAACCACTTAGCAAAAGTAGCGATATCACACTGTGAAATATACCTCACTGCATGTAAAGCTGAGTTACTGACAAATTTTATTTAAAGTTTCAAAGAAGAAAGTAATTTTTCTCTAGAAATATGAGAAAAATGTTTCCCATCAGTGTTATGTAGATCTATGGATCAATATTACTGCCGCAGATCTTTAGGGCTGACCTCAGTTGAAATACTTTATATTCTGTTTACTCTACAGGAATACCTTTTTAAAATCATATGGTTGTAGTGTCTCTAAAAACAGCTTTTAAAGACCTCCAAAAAAATAGGGCTACAACTTTATTAAAAGAAAAAAAGTTTATTAATATAAAATAAAAAGATCACAGGTAAATTAAAAGTTTTAAGCACTGTGTGGCACTGATAAATGTCAATCTCTCCAGCGCTGTTTATAAACCAATAACAGAAAAAAAAAGGTGCTGTATCAGCAAAGCAGCTTGTTAAATCTATTATATTTGGCCAAACCAAAGTCTTTTTCACTTTTTCTTGCTAATCTGAAAATGCAGGTGAAGCCTGCACCTATTCAGCTGGCCTTTTCTATTAAGCCAGACATGGCAGCAGCTGGCATCCCCTCTCAATCATCAGGGGTTTTCTTTGCTAATGTGTTAAAGGAGTTATTAAAAGTTTCTTCACACTACTCTCTAACTCTGCTATATCCTATGATGGCCAAGGTAGTCTGAAAATGAAAGCTTATTTGTTAATATGATAAATCACAGAGGGCTCACTTATTTACCAATACTCGCTCTGTTTCTGCACCATGAACTGAGCAATGGAACAGCTTTCCGTTACTTCCCTGTTAGCGTTTAAACACATTTACATGTAAATCTATATTAGCCATCTAGCTTAATAATTTCTGGAATAGAAGAACCCTTGAATGTACTTCTTACCTTACTTACTCACTAGCAACTTATGGGCTTTAAATACGTTATCTACCCCTGCTGGTACTCCACCTTCTGCATGCGGTATTGCAACTGCATGTGTCCATTTCAAGCTTTAGAGAGGAAAAGTGTGAAATAGACACAGTAGACTGGTGTGTGTGAGTGTGTGTTTTACAAACCATGATATTGAGTAATGTACTGAACTTCACTGACATACACTTAAATAAAACCATGTCATAATTAGGGATGGGTATCGTTTAGGTTTTATCCGATACCGGTGCCAAACCGGCCTAAACGGTGCTTAAACCGGTGCTTAAAGAATGGAGAACACAAAATTGGTCCAAAAACCTCTCATGTTCAGCTGTTTTTTTGTAAAAGGATAACAATGTTAGCCTTTTCTGCAGCTATAGGGCATATATGGTATCACTCTTGGCTGGAAGCAGTGCTTAAACAATGGAAAAAACACAAACTTTGTCCAAAAACCTCTCATGTTTAACTGTTTTCAACTTTTTCTTTGGTCATTTTAGCCTTTTTGGCCAGGGTGAAGGGAGTATCTGCCATCAAACAAGAGGACAGCCGCATGTAGCTATGATGGTGTTTGCTAGTTCACCTTACATGCATTAATGTAATAACGTGGTTAGCCTACTCAACGTAAATTATACATGAACAACATTAAGCTACTCACGCAGAGAAGAACGGCTGCTGCTGCCATCATCATCCGTCATCATTTCTGCTACACTGGCAGGGCTAGGGGCCAGGACTCTGTTCTTCGGGTTTTTGGGGGATGTTGCTAACTCCGGGCCCGATAACAGGTTTTGACCACTTCGCCTTGGGCATTTTTAATCTGTAGCTCTGCTCTAAAAGAACGTACGTACCTGGCCCCGCCTACTATCCTCGGAAACGTAAAATGATTGGCTAGAATCTAAAGTGTATCACAGCTCAGGGAAAAAAAGCACCGAAATAAAGCACCAAAATGTGCGCTGCTTT